CCTTAGGTGCCACTTGCTAAATTAGACACACTCATTTTTTTAAAAAGAGCACAAAAAGAATTTTAAAAAGCACAGAAGCTTTTTCCCCCTCCAGTTATCCTATACTGCACTACTATGGAGCAATTGTTCAGCAGAGATAAGTTACGGTGAAATATCTCTTTTTGGACAGCAAAATGCCCTCATGCTTTCAGGCAAGCTTTTCCAGAACTATCAGTACAACGCTTTCCGATTTCTATCTTGGGGCAATAACCTTTAATGTAATTCAAATAACAGGCCATAAAAAGAAGTAAGAAAAGGAAGGAAATTGTCTTTAGAAGTAGTCTTAGACTATTGTAATTCCAATTTGCCACTGCTGCTGGATTCTGACATATAATATCAAGAGCACTATCAAGCAGCAAGGAGGAATCCAATGTGTTTGCCTTACAAACTGAAATGGGCTTTTTGCTTCCGACAATAATGGAGAAATCAGCCTATCTTTTGGAATAGAAACAGAAATGGCACCATTATTTATATGACCTGAAATTTACCTTTTTACCTCTCTCAAGAAGACATAGGCAAATGCTGTTCATTTATACGCTTGAGTAACCTCTTTTAAAACAACACTGGCATTATGCAGATTACATGAGCAGGGTTTTGTCAGAAGTCTACTTAGTGTTCATTGCTATGTAGTGGTCTTGGCTAGATCGACACACAGGAAAACCGTATCTGCAGGAGGCTGCAAAGACAGACAATTCTTAAATGGTTGAACAGCTTTGCAAAAAGCTGCATTCTCCTTAAATGAATCTGGGAATTGTCTTGTTAATTCAACTGTCTGGGGTAATTGTGGAGCCATCATCATGGCTCCTTCACACCACCATGTTCCTATACCAAAGGCATTATCAGATAAAAACATTCTGTGCCAGCTACTCCGCCGCTTGATTTTTGGGGACAACTGGGACAGAAAGAAATTAAGCCCCTGTGCTTAACCTTTATAATCAGGGAATTTTCCACTTGCTGATCAAGGAATGATTGTCAAGAAAAATTAAGACCAAAAGTCAGCTTTACGTGTTGGCATGGGCAATGTATAGAACACAGGCTTTTAACTACTATTAAGCAGCAGTATAGCTTAACAAAATCAAAATAAAGCTAAAAACTCAATTTCTGGTAAGCCTGTTATGAACTCTTCATAGAGTCTGTATATTTTAAGGGGTTATATATCGTATTGTGTTGTATTGTGTCATATTATACTATATGCTGCTGCACTGCATAGAGGAATGTATTATTGAAATGATGACCTGTCAAAACGCAGGGTTACGATTTGACCACAAGGTGGGAGCATTGCTCATCACACATACGCAGGGCACATCAGGATTTCTCTGTTCTAGCTGTTTAAGATACAAATATCCTGTATATTTCTGTGCTATAACCTGCAAACGTGCATGTTACTACTAGAACAATAAGTTCCCAGGACAAACACAAAAAAAGAACCTTTTATTTGTCTGTAATTGCTAGCTGAAAAAGAATATTTGAATAAACTGCGTTTTGGTCCCTGGAACAAAGAGTTGCACTGAAGACTTTGCATTGACGCTGCAAAATCTTTTCCCAATAGGAAAAAATAAGGAGGTGGTAGAGATAATCTGTGAAAGTGGTAATGGGGAGGAATAATTTTTTCATTTGTTGTCAGTTTTGTGAGCAGAAAAAAATTGCAAAAAAGAAAGTTTGTGAATGTAGATAAAAATTATTTCCATGTGACTGCTTACAATTTTCCATGCAAAGTGTTGAAAAGCAACTATTTCACATGGGAAAATCAGGTTTTCCAAAATGGTTTAATAATGTTCTATCCCACAGGAAACATTTGATGAACTACTTGTGCTGATGATGTCTCTGATAGGGCTGTGTCTTTATGTGGGAAATGGCAGCCCCATATCTCTTTTCTTGGAACTGAAAAAAAGGGAAGTGCTGAGTAACAAGCAGTATCTCCCACAGAAAAAAGCCAATAATATGAAGATTAGATTAACATGAGAAGGAGACTAGCCTACGTTCAAGGGACTTGCACAGGATTTTGAAGCAGTTAAGACCAAAATCTAAGGCATGACTGCAGCTTACATAGCCATCCTCAAGCTAGCTTTAAAGTAGTTGGCTTTGGGTACAGACAGACTCAGTCGTATGAAGCTCCTGCTAGATGCATACGTAGTTCCTTGCTGTCTCAGCGAGCCTGATCCCTGTTTCTGGGGGCATGCCCCCTTAATTATTTTTGGGTAGCTTCAAGGTAACTCTGACACAAAAGCTACATTTCACACCTGTGACTACAGTGTAGACATGTAGCTTCAATGCCTTCGTGTCCACATGTGATAGTTATTCTATGTGTCCCTGGCCACTTGGTTCCCCATGTAGTAGAAGGACAAATGTATTAGAAACATTTTGGCATGTATGTATTCCAATAACAAGATATTACAATAACTTCCTTTGTATATGCTTAAAAAGCAACTTGGACACAGATCCTGCAAAGATTTATGCAACATATGCTCTGCAGCTTTCTTCTCCAGGTGCAGGATGCCTGCGCAGTAGGACAGGGTAGCAGACTGACCTCAGCTGGGTACAGGGCTCTAGCTGATGCTAATGGGTGGTGGTGAGAAAGCTGAAGCCCTCATGGTAAATCTACACAAATGGGCACCTGTTTAATACAAATACACCCCAGCTACAGACTGAACAGAGGCTGTAAAACCCAAGGACCCTTGACCCTGCAAAAAGTCCAGGCTGAGTTTCACCTACCAGCAAACTACATGTGGTGAGTGCATTATAGCTGTAACCTCAATCTTTCTAACTCCCCCGCTTAATCTTTTTTTCCAGCATGTGAAAGACCATGTACTGGCACGTGAGAAAGCATATGTTCGGGTAAACATTTCAGTAGTCTGCAAACAGCTATGTATTATCCATGGATAATGTTCCTTTCTCCACATCCCTCACATGCCTGGTAAGGAGATGTGCTCTGGAGTGAGTAATGGGCAGAACAGGTTGTGCAGTATTTGTCAAAACAGAAGTGCCACCGTAGCACTTTCCTTTCTAAGGCGCATCATTCACAATTTTTCTCCTGATTTCTATCAATGGGATTGTTAGCTATAAGCTGTCTCTACAGCATCTGAATGAAAAACATTCAGCCTACAAATTGTCCTTGCATGGTTACAGTTGCTTATTCACTGTAATCAACTGGTCCTGTTGTATTGGTCTTTCCCCTAAGGTTATGAGCAGAACATTTTCTTACAGGAGAACGAACAGACATTAAATAAGTAACACCACACAAAGACCAGCAGCTTGCAAGGAACTAAATTCACACCCTCACTCTTCAAGTCAGCATGAAACATTCACTTCTTGGTCCTCTAGCCCAACTAAATAGGTGCCCCTAATCTTTCTGAGACCTTGAGAGTGCAGGCCTTCAAATGTAACCTGGTCCTCAAAGTTAGGGATTCCCGGGCAGCTCTCTTGGCTCGGCTGATGCTCCTGAGTCCTTCTAAAGAAGCCCCAGTCTTTCTGCGTCCACCTGGTCCTTCCAGGGCTGCAGCCTTCCAGCACAGCCGCTCCTCAGCCATCACCCACTGCAGTGGGGAGAGAAGCCATTCTGCCCATTATTTCTTCTGGGGCCTTGATAGTTACATACAGCACTGCACATATTCATGAACATCTGAAGAGTCGCATGTTATTTGAGTATTTGTACTTAATTTCTGCATGACCACAGAAAGAGTTGTGAATGGTACTTGTTCAAGACTGTTTTCCTGACAGACACTTGAGTTAAGTGTGTAAATAATATGACCTCTTAACAAAATAATTGAATTTTCCTAAACAATTGTTGCTAAGGGGCCTCTTTAACAAAAGTACATATTTATGTGTCTGAAATTAATACAAGCTTCTAGATGATTTTTTTTACATTTTTAGTTGAGGTATCACATTTTCTTCTTATTTATCACTTTGCTAAAGCAATAGGAATTTTAAGTAATTTCTTAAAAGGAAGCAATAAAAGAAAACATAGTATCATTCCAAACTGCAGTACTTACTATGAGGTTGTCTTTCTTGACCATCAAAACAAAGTACTGTATTATTTACATTTAGGAATAGCTGTGTTTCAGTGGGTTTCACTGAGACACGCACAAAGAAAATGTTAGCTCTAACATTTCTTTCCATTTATTTTGCTACCTCATACTTTAGCAATCGCTTTTGGAGCAACGTGGGTCCAGATACTATCTCAGAGCCCTGCGGTACACAGCTGAGGAGGTGCAAAAGAGTAAACATGCCATAGACCTTACAGCTGTTTTTCCACTTTGCTGGGGCTACTAAAACATCTGTGGACCTGTACTCTAGGCTCAGACTTGTTTGAAATTATTCCCAGATGCCCAAGAAACTGTCCTATGGCTTGGGATTGCTTCAGTTCAACAATGTTTCAGCAACATCCCTTTAATATAGCATCCTTCATAGGACCTCTATGCTGATGTGCTCACTCCTGCTTGCTTCCCACACCTGTGGTTTGACAGTGCTTGGCAAATTCCCCCTCAGACAATAAAGTCAAGAAAGCTTTGTGTTTGTATTGGTGCAGGATAACATGCAATCATGAAAAACAGGGACACCTTGTGCAGGTTTTTTCTTAGCTCTGTTTTTTGCATTTCCCATGCAGCCTGTCCTAACAGAGAGCAGAATACAGCCCAAAGAAAGTCAGAAGGATAGAACCTCACAAATCCGCATTTCCTATTAAGCAACTCTAATAATCCAGGATTTTTCTTGTAGGCACTGCACAAAAATTGATGGATAAGGCTTACCAAAAGAACAACTAAGTGGTACTAGGCATTATGTGAAAGGGATGATTTTCCCCCAGAATGCCCCAATGGCTTTTGTCAAGTGTAATGACTGTTTCTGTTAAGTCTGTTTCTGGTTACCACACAATTTTTTGGTTTTAGAATAAACTGCGGATGTTTAGGAAACAATAGATTGCATATAAAAATGGGTGACAAAATGTAATAAAATGTTGTCCTTACCATCTGTTTTCTTTGATTCATCCCCCACACTAGACTGATCTTTTTTGTCCAACTTATTGTCTTCCTTTAATTCACCTAGAAAGAAGCAATTAGAAACGCTATAAGCATTTTAATGCAGACTGCAGTTTATTAATGCCTGTAACTCAATCAAATTGCAACATCCAAAGGAGATGTTCCTTAGGATAAAAGGTCTGAATTCACAAGGAACTGGATTAACACATTTTCATAGAATAAAGCACCAGACAAAATTTATCCAACTCCTACAGAAAATCAAGCTTTACAATCTACTTTTAAATTTATTCTAATTGTTAACACCTTTTTAAGTGCACAGGCAAACTCATACTCCCTCTGGTTGTACATAGGCCATTAAAAACCTGAGAACTACCTTCATTTCAAATTCAGGACTCTGAGACGTTTATGCTTTTAAAGGACTAAGACCCTGCAAGACTTCATCATAAGTCTCTGCTTTAAAGAACCAACTTAGATATCCCAACAGTCCCATATAATTTTGTCTTACTTTCTCTTACAAGTTTCCTTTATCCACAAATTCATTTGGGTTGCTCCTTTGATGACGGTATCAGGGAACAAACAATCATCCTAGCATTGATCACTGGCTTGAGAGTCTCTATAGCAAACCAGGAAAGCAAGGCCTTTGGCAGAGCAACGGTTGATGCAGAATGAAAATGGCAGCTTGAGCTGGTGCGTATTTTATGAAGCCAGCAAGGTTAACCAGAGTCATTCTCATTTTCTGTCCTTTATTAGTCATACAGCAGAGCACATCAGACCCTCCCAGACCATCCCTTCATTGGATGAGAATGCCAAATGCAAGATCAAATGAAAAATAACTTATAGGGAGAGGTCTAGCAGAACAGGGCTCTTTCAGCTGCAGTGTCCAAACAGCAGCAAAGAAGGTGTCCTTCCTTCAGATGTCCAGAGAAGCAACAGCAGCCTGCCCAGGTAGGAACAGGCAGCTTGTCCCTTCCCCCTGGAGGGGTAGCAGTGAACTTGTGACCCACACCTCAACACAAAAAGCTGTAAAAGTCTCACTTCAGAATCTTGTTAATGTGAGGTATGTTACAGGGCTGTATTAAAGTAATGCTTATTCCATTTGTATTACTATTTTTGTTACTATAACGACTTCACAGTTTCTGGATCAAGGTTATAGGTATTATATGTTAAAGAGGATCTGATCTGCCTTCAAAATAGTCATGGCCAGTGGATACTTATTTTTGGAACAGCTCAAAAAAAGAGAAATTGTAGAGAAGCAAAGTCTCCCTCTTTCACATTCGTGCCCTGACCACTAGAATGTTTGTTATTCTTGGATGACAGAGAATTGATCTCTCTCTCCAATTAAGTTTCATTATAGTATAAAAGAGGAATGGTTTTCAAATATTAAAATATTTAACAAGATGGAAAAAACATGTCCTGTTCAGTTCCCATTCAGAGCCAAAACTTCTCATTTTTTTCTTCCTAAGCTCACTGTGGGTGAGAGAAAAATGAAAGCAAGATGATACAGGACAAGCAGCAACCTCCTCAGCTGATCATATTGCCACTGACTTGGGGTCCTTGAACAGAGAGGTATGAGCAGCTCCAGGGAGAGTTGAGGTTTCTACTTGATGAAGGTGGCCTCTAAAAGAAGGACACTGTCTTCAGGAAATGAAATGAAAATGTATCTAGCGAAGCACAAAAGTCTTCTCGCATTTCCTCCACCATCGTATGGCTGATGGTAATGATGAGCTAATAATGCTTTGTTTGACCATTGCATAAAGAAGTTGCTTGGCCCTAAGCGCGTGCAGGAAAAGATGATGAACACCCACACATACGTTATTTCACAGTTTGATCTCTCCGAGAAAGCACACGGGCAGCGAGTGACTGAGAGAGATTTCAAACTCGTCTGACAACACAATTTCTGAACTTTCATTGAATATAACTTATTATGAATAGGGGACTTTTGAGTATTGTAATATCTACCCTGCCATACTGCCAGCAGCGGAGCAGAATCATGATCATAATGATCTTTTTGAAAGGGATTACAAAGGCAGAGAAATAATAAGGCAAATACTTTACAATGAGATATTAACATATAGGCGTAAAGGAAGCTGTGGTGAACCAGAGATATGAATGTTAAGATTTCATCAGTCTCCAAAGGCTCTGCGGTGGTTGTACCTCATAAAGGCCTTTTCCCATAAATTAAGGAGCAGAATTTTTTTTCCTGAGGAAGACACTAATTTTCAGAAATCATTATAATTCTTTTCAAAGCATTTTTGACACCTGCAGCAGAGAGACATTGCAGAAAAAGGTACTGTCAAAATCACTAGAGCACACTTAACCCCCGTATTGTTAGAAGCATGTAAAACAAAGGTTGTCAGAAGAAAAGTCTGATGCAGTCTAACTGGGATTTCATATGTCCCCAACCTTTTTGTCTCCTTGGGGGCCCCATTCCTATTCACCCACGTAACACTGCCTGAAGAAAAATCCCATACATAACAGAGCATGACAGCTCGGATCCCCATAGTCCTTCCAATCTAAAAAAAACCTAATGATGAAGGGATCGCTGGGAAAGGCCAGCAGCCAAGTCAAATACATGAGAATCATATCAGGAATGTTTTAAACAGGATTTCTGCCTCTGCTGCCATCTAAACTCACTGCCTGAGCCTAGGACTTTCAAGGCCTGTATGCTCACTCAGACTTTTTCTAAGAGGATGCTTCTAAGTTTTTTGCTGGTTTTGGACTGACTAATACTAGCCAAGTTTGTGACAAGTCACATGTGGCTGTACTGCCATTTTTTGATAACGGCTTCAGGGAGCAGGAGCTGGGGAGGGAAAGACAGTGAAATGGCCAAGAGACCACTGATCTGTTCTCATGGATCTGATTTTTTTTTTTAATGTTTAATGCAATTTTCAAACATTTTTCCACCTTTTTTGGGTGCAAAATGTGATTCTTATTTTAACTCAGTTCTATAGCAAGTTGAAACACTGGAATAAAATTTCTGACAAAAAAAAATCTCCATAAAAATGCTGATGACTGCCCTAATAAAAAAAATGAGCAAAGGAAGCATAAATAAAATAACTCTTAAAAACAGAGAGGGGGAAAAATCCTCTGTCCCAAAACATATTTATATCTGAGAGTCAGTTCAAAGATACCTTTAATTGCCTTAAAAAGAGTTTATAAGCTAACTTTGGCTTTTCCTCTGTCCGTTACCCAAGCAATGAAGCTGTTCATTGAACCAAAAATATTTGTTTCAGCTTTTAAGTGTGTATCGTAACAGGCTGCTTCATTTCCAGGAGAAAAGTAATTTTTTCCTTTCCTCCAAAAGTGGCAAGCAGGTATGATGAACCCCATCATTTATGGAAGAACACTACTTGGGAGTTAATTTACAGATTCCAGTTCCCATATGCAGGTGACTATGCCAACGTCCAAGAAGAGGCTCTGGGCCCAGGACATCCTTTTTCAGGACATCAGGTACCCCCACCACTGAGGTGAGATACTGGGTTTAGGGCTGGATTCACATTTCAGTGGAAGGAGAAAACTCACCGTTCTGGACATGCTGTTTCTCTTCTCCCATTGCATGATGACAGTCTGTTCCCTTATCTGTCCTAGGTGCGTTTTCCCCTTGAGAGGCTTCGTGTTTGTTCACCCCAGTTTGCCGAGTCCCATTTACATGATTTTTCTTGGAATCTGTGCTTTTGTTTTCCCCAGGATTTGGTTCTTTGCTGTTCTCTGTCTTTGCTGCTGTGGCATCTTCAGCTGGCTTCTTCTCATCCTTTTCATCTGTTTTCTTTTCATCTGTTCCCTGATGAGCATTTTCCTCTGCTTCTTTCTTAGCTTTTTCTTCTGCATCCTCAGCAAAGAGAGAAGCAAAACGAGAAAAGAAATCATGATTATCAGTCAATTTGACAAGAATGATGCAACTCACACATCTAAATCTACTTCAGCTTTTTACATGCAAACAGCTTTTACTTAGATAAATGTAGGAATTGACAAGGGAAAAAGAGCACAGGAGAATATTTAAGAAAGTATTCTGAAAAAAACCACCCCATGTTGCCCTAAATGTACATTATGTGCATGTCCTTTTTTTACCATATAAGGTTCACCTTTGAAAATGTTCCTCAAAATTCTTAAAAGGCAAATTAAAAAGAGATATTAGCTATTGAAGGCTCTAGGGGTGCCAGGGTTAGTTTCATTTTTGACACACAACAATCAGTCAAACGACATTCAGTTTATCTCATACCGTACCATGTAACTCTAAGCACATAAAAAGTCTTGGTTCTTTGATATCTACTTTTTTTCCTTCTTGTTCCAGGTTGCTTCCAATGCCAGCTTCCTAATCTCTTCCCTTTCACTTACCGTTATCCTTTCTTTATGGCTCTGTCCTTTCTTGGCAGACTAATATATTGCTACTAGTACTTGCCCTTCCATCCCAGAAAGTCTTACAGTCAATCACAAATATGCAAAGGTATAAATTAAAAAGTGAGTGTTGAACAACAGCAGCATCTCAAAATATTGTCATTCCAAAAAAAAAAAGTTCACAGAGAAGCCAATTTCCCCCATTCAAGATACTGCTCTTGTTCTTATCCAAACCTGGGGTCCTGATGCAGCACGCACTTACAACATAGGTTGCAAATTACTTTGGCTCCAGGTGTTGAGACCACTACATTTCTAGCCCAGGTCGGGTACAGCACACCCCCCCAGACTCAGCTGCAAAGGCTCTGTGTGGCTTCCTGCGTCACACTGGAAAGCAGGACAGAACAACCCTCAGCGCAGTCCTCAAGCTAATAAACCCATCTGGGTGCGCACAGACTCTGGGCAGAGACTCCATAATTTTCTCCCCCTTTTCCATGATCAATAGAGAATAAATCTGTAGAAGCAGCTGAGTAGCTCAACACACACTCAGTTTGGAAGCTGCAAGCTTATGCAGCTTCAGAGCATATCTATATCCATACCGAGTCTAAGCATTCAGATGTGACTGCTCTATGCCTGTATTCAAGGCTTTTGGGTCGGCAATATCCCAGCCCACCCATCACCCCATCATGGACAACCAACTGCACTTTAATTGTGATAGGAATCACAAATAGATGTATCTCCTGGTTTCTGAGAGACTGTGTAAGCTGATGAACAGACAAACAGATCCTACAAAACACAGAATAAAGTCTACCTTGGTCCTATGGAAGCATTCTTGACACCTGTAGGGAAGATGTTTTGCTCCTTACAGGAGCAGGGTCTTGGCCAGTGAATAAAAATTACAAAAGAATTTCTAAGTGTCTTGACAAATACTTCTTACGAGTGAATCAGAACTGGTTTTGAGAAAAATGTACCGATGGGATACAAGAGAGAAAGGGGGAAAGCCGTCTTTATAAGAAATGCCAATCTATATTTCCTTGCCAGCAGCTAACTAAAGTTAATTAATTTATAAATTAATAAATTATGCTCACACAAAAATGTAATTAAATTAGATATGAGCCTCCCTCACTTTATTAATCGTTCCTGAAATCTATGGTAGCTTCCATAGATAGCTCAGCTATGCATGTTGATATTTTCCCTGGAGTCTCATGGTATACAGGATTCCTCTCATTTGGGGATCTGAAAAAAAATGCTGCATTTTGCACCTGAACCACAGGAGAGAGATTCGGCTCAGGAGACTGGGGCTTGCTACAGCACCATTGGACAAGTGCCTCTTGTCAAAATTAGTGTCAGAAAATACTTTATCTAAATGGTGCTTTGCACATCAGGGTGTTTGATTATTCTGGTTTTTTAATTTGTAGCTATTTAATGATGATCCTTTAAGCAAAAAGAGATCAGTAATAAACCCACTTAATTTGCCCCCACAGTCCGAGAAATTTTCTATAAATACCACACTCAGGATAAAAACAGCTCACTGATGCTTCTAGGGACAACGCCATTACCAAAGGGAATACAGTATTCTACAAATCATTTAATAATAATAATAGTCATAGTAATAATAATAATAGATGGGTTTCCTCCTCTTCTGATCCCCAGTTGCTATTTGTTGTCAACCAACAGTTAAATGCTTTATCTGTCTTCTCTTAATAATTCTTTTTTTTATTGGCAGAGCATCTTGATGCATTGCAAGACACCGGTTTGACGGGGGTCAGCAATTTAATATCCTGCTGTGCGGCAGGCCCTGCTGCATATGGCTAAGGCAGGCAAGGCAGATGGAGCGGGGTGCAGAGACTTGCTGCAAGTCAGGAGCAAGACAGCAGCTGAGCAAAGGTTTTGATGTGAGGGCTCTGGAGTCCAAGAACAGTTCCTTAGTCCCCAGCCCATACAAAGGTATGCTGAGCCATACGTTTGTATAAATCCTTCAGGTTAAAAAAATATGCATGCACAAAGCACATTTAAAAGTTAAATAGCCAGAATCTATTATGATTGACTGTATATATTTGTTTTAGGTGAAATGTAAGATATGTTTTATTTATTTCCCCACAGGTCTCTCTTGCATATGGGATTTTTATCTAGTAGATCCCTAGCAGACAAGCAAATATGTACGGTACATGTTGAAATGAAATCCTTAAAACTAATTAACTGTATTGGCTTCATTCACTCAACACTCCTATACTGTGAGACACTGACCATGTTAAATGCTTTGTTTGGTTGGTTAGCTTTAATTTGTTTGGTCCACAAAGAACCGTGAAATAGTAAATACCAATTAAAAAAAATAAAAAGCTAAGAAAAGCCCCTGGCAAATAAGCAGATTTTGAATTATGTTTTTGTTTTCATTTTCATGGAATGCCTAGAAAGGCTTTTCCTGAATGGCAAGTTTTAGTCACAAATGAAGATTTAATTTGAATAATAATGTGTGCTTTCCTGCACCTTTAGACAGGCCTTTCAGTTGAAGAGGACCAATCTGCTCTGGCAAATAGGAGAGCTACGCCAAATCTTCCATCAGCCCTGAAGCCAAGGCCACATAACACATTAAAATCGAACTCCTTCCATTTACATGAAATACAACAACTCCATTAAATAAGGGTTTGAGTAACAAGCATTCAGCTCAGAGAAGAAATTGTATCACAAACAGTTTCATGAAGAAAAAAAAAATCAGTGATACATTCCTCCTTTTTTGGTTCCAAAGTTGGTCTAAATCACCCCAGGGCTCAAGGAGACCTTGGGCAATCATCCAGCCCCTGGAGGCAAGGGGCAGTTATACCTAAGTCGTTTTCAACAGATGGCTCTCATTAGTTCCGAAAGATCTCCAACAGTAGAGATTTGCCAATGTCTAACCTATTACCAGGTTATAATCACCTGCCAATTTTTTGTCCTCTTAACAGCCCAGGGTATTTGAATAAAAAAATAGTTTCCTTATTTTGCAGCTGCAGTAGTCTTCAGAAAACTGCTTTCAGCTATAAACCTTCTCAGCTATAAATGACAGTTATCATCATTTGCACTGCTGTACTCTGTATTGTCTGCAACTGGTCCATATGTTTCCTGAACTGCAGTGGCCAAAACTGGACACAGCACTACTGTGGGGGCCTTGTTACTGCTGGAAAGACAGGAAGAATGCCAGAGGGGTCTTAGAAGCAAGGTCTGTTTTGGGTTTTTTTGGTTTTGGGTTTGTTTTTTTGTTTTTTTTTTCAACAGCATGACAATATTGAACCCTGGTCAACTTGCAACCAACACAGCCCTCATATTCTTCTGAAATATTTGCAGTCCCTCCTAGACTGACGACATCATGAGCATTTGCAGCATAGTTCCCAATTCATTATCCAAGTTATCACCAGAAATACGAAACCAGCTGTGATTCCAGAATATCCTGTCCTTCTCCCCTGAACTATCATCTATACCTCTTTCAATCTTAACAGTGAACAACTGATAACCTATCTCTACAAATGCCGTTCCAGCTATTTTTGCACACACTCTGAGTCTGACTCATGACTTTAGGGGACCTCCCTCACAAATATTTTTTTTTCCTCCCATTGTCCACATCCTCTTCATTACGTACACTCACACCATGTAAGAAGAGTGTAAGGCACAGATGAGTCACAATGTTCCTATCTTTCTGAATTCAGTGTAGGTTGTTGACCTTGAAAAACAGATTCTTTCAAACTAATAGTGCTTACTTGGAGAATAATTTGATTGAAGAAGAGCTTGAAGAAGAGGTCAAAAGAATTTTTATTCTTTCACTAAGAAGCCTGGCTGTTACCTTTGGTGGCTTGCGATTTCCATTTCTCCCGGTTCTGCTGCACCACCTCAGTCCAGGTGGCTTTAAAACATTTGAAGTCCACAGTGAGTATGGAGCAGTTGAGTGAGGCACTTCCTTCGGACCCAGTGCTCTTGACACTTGATCTTTTAACTTCGGAGGGACTAATGCTATTCAGACTGGGACACAAGATCACAAAACACAGAAGAAATCAGTATCCCATACACCCAAATACAGCTAAGAAGAAATAACGACTGTAAGTCTAGATAACTTAACAGAGTCAACCAGGAAAAACAAAAACTAAGCTTGAATCCCTCATCCTCCCCTCCCTCCCTCCCACCCCAGGGCAACCAGTATTAAAGCAAACAGCACAACCTGAGCCAGTATTAGAAATAAAGGGCAGCTTTTCCCTGCTTATTTTTTGGTATGCATAGTCCCTAAGAAATAGAATCACTCAAAGTGTTGCCATTACCTTTGTTGTGCATCTTCACTCCCTAAATATTCATTGGAGAGTCAGACAATTCTAGAAATCAAATATGTCAAAGGAGGAGCCTCCTAAAATTCACCAATGGGAGCCATTAGGCACAGGACAGGAGGCCAGCCTTTGTCCAGGGCTTGGTGAGCTCAGCTGAGGCTGAAATCAGGCACTCATTTCAGTTACAGACCCTACAGTTGTCTTTCAAGGATGAACACTTCATTGTGCACATTTTAATAAAGGCAGCAAGATAACTGACATAGAAAGATACTAGTGCTTACTCTTTGTGTAACAGCCCAAGAGTAAAGAAGTCACTTGGGAGAGAGAATCCTGACTTGGTAGCTCTACTCGAGGGAGCACTAGCTACGTGGCATTTGAATCCCAAGACATGCCCTGTCCATGAAACTATTAAAAGAATAGTTTCTCTACAACAGCAGAGCAGGTTGAATGGGCCAAGACTCCTTACACCCAAACTCCAGGTGAATTCTGGTGGTACTTCACACATTTGTGTAACCCTAAATACTATCACTAAAGTGTGCTTATACTTCCCAGTCCTCTTTTGTATTTCAACCCCATTTATACTTCTAGACATGAAGAAATGAGTGCCTCCCAACGACTCCCTCTACCTTCTCTTTGACATTAGTGACTGAGAGCACACTAAAGTTCACCTGATTGCATGGCTACAACCATTTGTGCTCACTGCCTTTGGAGGCATGGCTCAGGTTCATGCCAGCCTCCCTCTTTGCCCTCCTCTGGGCTGGAGTTTCCCTGCAACAAAGTCACGTCACAAGGTGAGCTGTGGTGTTGGCAATGCGGATATAGGGCTTTAAGCCACATGGAAGACATATACTGTGGAGATGAAACCAGGGGAGTTGGGTGCAGTGGCACCATGTGCAGAGTGAAGGGTGAGGGCGCATGGTTATTCACCTGGAACGCCTGAACCCGGACATGCCAGAGCGGGAAGCTTCATCGATGAGTGGTGTCACAATCTTCTCGGTCATGTCAGTCAGCACAGTAAAAGTGGGTTCCACAATGAAATCAATGAAACCTGAGCAGAAACACAAGCAGAGTCAAGCAGGCAAGAGAAGGATTTATGTGGAGTCACTGCTTCAGTGATCACAGACAACCACGCTGTAAAAGACAGAGTAAAAAAAAAAAAATACCTTGAAAGAGGGATAGGCAAATACTAGAACAGGAAAATGGAGCTATGCATTAATCCCTGACCCAAGAGCCTGGATATAGCATGCAATAAAAGGTACCTACTTAAACACTGGAAAGAAACTGTGGCAAATCAGAATGTAAACAGATGCATCAGAACTTGTTTTATACAAGTTATAAGCCAAATTCCTAGCGGATTTGGATAAATTTAAGCCAAATTCCTAGCGGATTTGGATAAAACCCAGTTTCAAAGATGAACTCTCTAAAAGCAGAAAATTAATATAACAGTAATAATACTGGTAAGCTTTGCTGGTTTGGAGTTACATGCACACGTCCCTTACTGCGTATCAGTGGGTTGCTGTGAATATTCTCTCCTCAGTGCTCAGCCAGCTTGTTCTTGTTGATAATAAAACACATTTAGATGCTTTTACCCCCATTTTTTAATATAAGGAAAGGAAAAAAATAAAGGGCCAAATAATTTCTAATTCAGTATACAGTATACAGAGATGAATACCGCTCTGATCTGAATGTTGGGAAGGGCAGACTGAAGGGCCCTGTGGCCATAAGCTCATGAAATGAAAGAAAATCCAAGTTGCACAGAAAAAATGTGAGAGTGAGAAGCTTATAGTACCTTACATCTTCCCCTAAATTCTCACCTGGGGCAAGGGCTATTTCTTATGTTCATTTTAGCACTTCACTTAGCAAATTTCTTAGTGCTGCTGGTAGCCAAGAAAACAATGATGTCCTTAATCCCTCCTAATGCACATCGGGATTCAGGTCTTCCCCTACTGTTACAATTTTTAAAGATTTGGTAATTATCAACTATTAATTACACATTCATAATATTACCATTTCTCTGACTGGGTCATGATATGTTTCTACAACAGACCCTGGCAATTCTAGGTGACAACAGAACAATAAAAGGAGAAGAGACCACATGGTCCAGGCACCAGAATTCACAGATGCTTTGATCCACATCTTGAGTGCAAAGCAGTTCAGCATCCTTCTAGTTTTATTTCCCTCCCCTGATTTTTGCTAAATTTCTGAAACGATGGGTAAGTAAGTGTATTTTCATGCCTAGCCAAATTAAAAACGTTTCTTGCAAGTTCTCAGAATTTCATACTAACATTCTGTAAATCTGGAGAAAATATGCATCCAGTCTTATCTGAACATCTGAATCACGTGCCTCCATAACACTGAGACAGTGTTACCTATTCAAATTTAGGGAAAAAAGAACTCCCTTCCTCCCAGGGAGTTAATCAGAAATGTATGCAGTATAAAGCCACAACAGGAAATTGTGTGCTAGATCACAACCCAGATAATCCCAGCAAACTTCATACAATTTTTTAAAACACTGGAAATTGTACTGACTGAGAACAGTGTTAAGTGTGCCACAGGAATCCTGAGGACAATGAAAACTTGATTTACATATGCATGTGTCTGCCTGTCTATATGTCTCTTCTAGTCCCCTTCACTCAAAAGAATTTTTACCTCTTAATGATCAAAGAAACCCAAGCCATGGTACCTTGTCACTTCTGCTTGGCAAGTTATACCACTGCCATTTGCTCCATCACCACTAACAACCCTGAGACAGGCAAATCTCTGATACCAGATGCATGAGTGTGTCACTAACTTCAGCAGCGGGGTGGTGGGATCTGCTTCCTGAGATACTCGACATTCACACATAAACACAAGGTCCAGCTGTAAACATCTAAGAAACAAGTTTTCCCTGGGAGAAATCTTGCATCTCATCAACAAAGACAGGCAGAGGTGGCACAAGGGACCACAGGTAAACAAACTGAAAGACCTAGGAGAACTTTTCTTTGATAAGTGGTATTTTTTCCTCTATTCTCTGAATAAGTTATTCAACTATGTTATTTTGAAATGGGGATTATAATAAAGTTGGGAAACATAATCTGCTACCGTAGAAACAAAACCTAGGACTTTATTAATAATTATGTAACTTATGCCATATTGCCAAGTGCCTCCCCCACACCGTGTTCTCTCTCTTCTTACCTAAAGACACTGTGATTTAAATATGGTGATTTAGTTTGCTAATTAAAACCCCTGAATATCAAATAATGAACCTGGGAGTTTAAACCTATTAATGCTAATGACCATTTTATCATCCTTTTTGTTCTTCAATAGAATGAATGTGGTAAATATTTCTGTACCCCAGCGACTAAGATGATTTTACCAATTAACACTGCATGCTGAGGGTGGATTCCAGGCACGTGCCTAGCGTTCATTCATTCCACCTGAGGACACAACTTCATTCACCACGGCAAACACTGGCAGGAGGACAGTTCCCCCAAAGCCCATCAGCAAAAAAAAAAAAAAAAAAGAGAATCATCAGCATGCACTCATCAGCCTTTACCCAATGTTTTCTGAAGCTGTAATTTTCTTTCTTGCCAGCCAAAGGACAAAAATAAAAGGATGCTGCTACATTTATCAGCTGCAAAAGAGGACAATGACAACAAAGGCTGATCTCCAGTCAGACAAGCTTTCTACAGTCTGAGACAGAGAGAGAAGCTTTAACTGCTGATATTCTTCTTGGGAAATACAAATCTTGGCCTGGTTTTCTTTGCAGTTTGTTTGTCTCCCCCAGTCTGATAAGCAGCCTGACTTCTGGACATGAATCTCTTCTGATTTCTGTACTTCACTGTGGTACAGAAATATTTACCACACTCATTCTATTGAAGAGGAAAAAGGATGATAAATTGGTTATTAGCATTAACATTAATAGGTTTTAAAACTCAGGTTCATTACTTGATATTCAGGGGTTTTTAAATATCAATTTAAACTCTGAACAATTTCTTCACAAACTGAAGCAACAGGAGAGAGAGACATTCTTTCTTTTGAGGAAGCTTTTGCTGTTAGACTGCTTCATTTCCATGGAAAAAGTCCGTACTGCAAAACCTTCAGTCTGCATTTGTGAAAATCTTCTGTTAATAAAAATGCTTGCCCACTGTTGTTGCATCTGCAGTGACCTTAGGGCAGGAAACCAACAACTACAAACAAGTCGAGCCACCACAACAGGATTTCTAGGCTTTGTCCCTGACAGAACCAAGAGCACAATTTTATTTCACAAAGGGCAGAGGGTTTTTATTTGTGGGAACTGATGGCTGCTTGCTGCAGATAATAGCACGATTTAGAATTCAAGAAGAACTTACTTTTGCAAAGAAATGTAGTAATTACTATTCCAGGGAACAATTTGTTAAGGCTATTAATCAGGTAAATAAATGAACGTGAACAGATTATTTGTCTGAGAATCTAGCCTACAACTTTGAAAGCCTTACCTCAGCAGATAGCCAGAAATATAAGAGGTTTTGATTTAACAAAGGAGATGTTACAGAAAGACTCTGCCAATATATGCAGCAGACTGAGAAATGAAAATTTTATAATGTTAGGAGGCAAGATTTATAGAGAGCAGCCTATTAATGTCCATGGATTACTAAACTGCACAAATCAAATATAATGACAAACAGTAAATGACTAAATAAGGCTGCCTTTGCATACTGACGAGAGCCTCTTTTGTAAGTTGGAATTGTGTTGTTGGTTTAATTCATCATTAATTTTGCAGTGGCTTGACACAAGGGGCATCAGTGCAGAAGTTTCTTGGCTTTCCTGGCCTTCCTGAGCAAAGGAGCACAAAAGAGGACAAGGAAAACTGGTTTCCAAGCACACACAACCCTACGTAGAAGGATGCCGTGGGAAGCAGAACTCTTCTTCCTTGTAGGGAGTGAGGGACATATCTGAAAGCTGATAGAAGGGATGTGAAAGAGAAGTCTCTACATTCACTTCCCTCCACACCAGCCAGAGAGAGAGAGAGTTTATCTTCTCCCACAGCACAGCAGTAGGTGTAGTGTGCCCAGCAGTCCTCAACATGGGTTTTAGCTGAGACTGCAGTACTTCAAGTTTGCTGCTGCTTCCCTCCGCCGAGCTGCTGGCAGAACACAAATGTCCTCAGCAGCTGCACTGCGCTCTACACACGTTCCCGCTCTTCTGGGTTACCGTTGCAGAGGAGTAAACGCTACAAGTCTGGCAACCAGGCCAGGCTTGCATAGGGCTTTCAAGTTCAGATTCTTGGCTGAACTGTCTAAACTTCCAAAGCCAGAAAAATCTGGGATGGGGTCCCTCAGAGAATGGCTTGCCTAACAGGAACAATGAAATAATTTTAAACAGAAACGGCTCTTAGCCACAGATATGAATCTCAACTTTCCTAGGCTCAGGGATGTCTTTGTCTTGTTCTTTGAGAGAAATTTCATACTTCAAATTCTTCGTTTGTTTTCCTTTAATACATTCTCTCTCTTTCTGCTTCTGGTCTCAGTTCCCTCATTTTTAGGGTCCGTGTTATCTTTCTTCTGTTATTCCATTTGGCACCCTATTCTCCAGTTGAGGTTAGATCACATTCTTCTGTCTACTTCACTTACTTCCTAGGTATAAAAATCCACCCACAAATCCACCTTTTCTATTGTCTTTTTTTGCCCCCAGCCTCCTGAACAGTTTTACTTCACTTAGTCCCTCTTGTCTTCTCACCAAATACCAGGCTTGTTGCCTCATCTTTCTCCTACTTTTTCACTCAATAACTGGAGGAGAGGTAGAGAAAGCGCTGTTGGTGAGTCTGTAAAAAGATCTCCATTTCTGAATGGGTGGAGCAGAAAAAGTTTTGCTATTTGGTTGGCTTCAGTGAAAAATATTGGTTGGATTGAAGCGCTGGGAGGGAAAGGGTGGGAGGAATAAATGGAAAAACACACAATAGGTTTTGCCCAGGTCATCAAAGGGACTGACATTACATTTTCATATACGCCAATGATATCACAACACATTGCCGTGTGCACCTCATCTTCACAGCTCAGAAAACCATGGAGTAGTGTCATAACCAGGCACTGTAGTCATCTCTGCAGACACATCAGAGGTAACTTGGTTACTGCATGGAACCACCACCATAAATTTAATGGTTCCTCAGCTTTCAATTGTTGATCTGGGGAAAATAACACCATTGTGCTATATTTCTTCTCTTTAACATACTTCCAAATGATGAGAGATCACCATGATCTTAGCCCCACAGGGAGGAGTAAGTTTTGCTTTTAAGATGCTACTTTGCATGTACCAAAAGGGACATACCTATTTGAGACTGAGCAACCATAGTAGACTTGCGATCACACAGTGGAGAGAAGGGAAGCCCTAGTTCTGCTTCTTTGTCACCCTAAAGAAACAAAATTGAGAAGAAATTAGAAAAAGACAAGACACATTGCACTTCGATATCTTAGGTCATGACTGTAAAAGCTTCTCATTTTACTTTCTTTAATTAAGTTTTGATTTGGTTTTTTGTTTTTTTTTTTAACACAAATTGTGGAGAATTTGAGTCTGACTGGAAAAGTTGTAGTCCAAGAAGTAGTTGGTGAATTAAGCATCTTGATTCCAGTGAATCTTTCCTCAGAACTTTCCCTGCCTGCCTGGTACTTCTATGCATCAACTAAAAACCCACTTGAGCACAAGAATGCTTCTCACTGCAGTTCTCCAGAGAACCCAGCAGAACTCAGTTCTCAGAGCAAACCTTTCAAGAGAAAACATCAGTGTCAGTACTGATTTTTCAAGGCTTGCACTTCTTTGCATGTCTTTTTTAGTCTTTCAGATAAGGAATTCACATGTCATGGCTGGCCAGATGCAGATTACTTTTTTCTTCCAAAGGAAACACTGACATTGTCAACATTTTACGTAAGTGCTTAAGTACAAAAGTCCAAACACACTTTCCAGCCCTCAGAACTGAAAGTCCTTTTCTAACATCACAAGACGGTGCAGAAGATCAAGTGTTATAACCCCATTTTTTTCCAGTCTTTCAAGCTGTATATTCTCAAAAAGCCCTTTAATTTGGTTCAGTCACTCTATAACATATTGCTTTATGCTGAGAAGATACATAGGATGACATAGTTGCAATACTCCCCACCGAGCATTCAAATTTAAATAGCCTGTTAACTATACTATAGAATCAATTCCTTAACTCAGCAGCTCACTTTAACTGTGCTGAACTTCTTGCCAGTGTTCCAACTAATGTCAAATGGAGGCTAAAATAGCCAGCAAACTAATCAGAGAAAAACTTTTGTAGGCATAAGAAGAGCTGAATTCTTCTTCTCTTTGTTAATATAACATACATGAAATGGGGGCACAAGTCCTGTTAGAGTTTTGGGTGGAACAACAAGCAATAATATTCTTCTATTGCAGAACAATTCTGCTTTATGTTAGGAGTCTGATATACAAATATCAGGGTAAAACAGAAACCAAACACAGAAATATTTCGAAGTAATGTTCCTTTATTGTGTCTGCTGCATCTCTCAGGAAAAACATCTCTCAAAGCCAGCTCTTATCTAATCATCATTCTCCTCTTACTCCTTATGCCTCTTAAAATCCCCAGCGCCTAATTCTCTTTAGGAAGGAACCCCTAACTGCCTTTCTGACTGCTCAGAGAGATACTTGACTACTTCTAAGCTGTTTGGGCAGCTCCCTCATGGCTAGCTGAAGTGCATTAGTAAAACAAATTAATTCATGCAAGATGTTTGCTTTAAGAGATGCTCACCATAGCTGCTGAATGTAAAAAAACCAGTATTGTACTCAGAAGCATCATTTACAGCTACAGCATGGTTAGTTGGTGTAGGAAGACCTGTGTCACATCACAAAATACCTGGAAAGCAATAGGGTTGGGGACCTGTACTGATAGAGGTTAAGTCAGGCTTTATGTCTCTGCAGAGCACTAACAGAAAGGACAGGAGAGGGTCTGCAGGTGAAGAGCATAAGGAAATAAATACCTAATCTGAGGCCAGCCCAGTTTCTTATCACCATAGTCCCCTCTGGCTAGTGGTACTTCTCAGCTTGTGATAAGTGTGTGTGTTGTTTTTCTGTTGTCAGGTAGGGAAGTATTTATTGATCTAGAACTAAATTACTTCAATGAACACAAGTCTTCATGGTAAGCTTAGGGGTTTTCCTGAAGAGGGAATGAATACTGCATCTGAATTTGGAACTAGAATACAAGTTTTATATAAAGCTTTATCTAAAAGTGGAGGCATTTGTCATTCAAAACTTAAGTAGGATTTGTTGGCTGAAATGAAATTATTCTTATGAAAACACAAAACAATAATTTTGTCTTCATTACATGTGTAAAACAGATCAAAACTTGGGCTTTTTGTGGCCTCATATCTAGCTAATCTTAATTCCCTCACCAGTCTTTAGGGGACTCAGCAGTGGTGTATTTTAACACATCTAGTATAATTTTGAGCTAGAAAAGCATAAACATACACAGAGTTTTGCCTAAAATGTCTGTGAAAATCATCCTACTGGCATGACTCTCCTGTGTGGCAACACAGAGACAGCTGCAGGTATGATCTACGTGCTCACACCTAGTAATCCCATTCTTGGTTTGAAAAACAAATTAAAGGATTCATTTTAAAGCAAATTCTTGCAGTGTCCTTATTAAGAAGGGATTCCCAAAATGCCTTTAAAAACAGATGCCATTTAAAAAAATTGTTAAAACTTTTTTAAAATTGTCATATATTTTTCTTTTTTACATTCAGATTTACTATAAAACATGAAGTTACTGAATTTCGGAGGGAAATTAAGTACTTAGTTTTCTGCTTAGTTTAGTAATTCATATTGGTGAAAAGTATCCTAAACACTCCTAAGTGCTGTTTACTTTTACTTTTTTTTTTAAGACAGCTCTTTAAATGCTTTTAATTAATCACTTGGGGAGCTTATAGCTATCACACAGAGCTTAATGATTTGTCTAGATTTGTGGGTCTGTCAACAGGCGGTCCACTGTGAGCTATAAACTAGATCAGTTCACTTCATCTAAAGTAAGGGTAATGCATTTTTCACATTTTTTGAGCAATATAAGTACAGTAACAATATGTACAGTTCTATAAAGTACAGCTACCTAAATCTGTTTTCTATGGTTCTACAGCTAAGCAGAACATCACATATTCTATATTTTGGTAATTTGAAACACATATTAGCTTCCCAAATTAGAATTTCTACTATGTAGATAATGTCTGCATCTATAGGCAGTGTATCAGACACTAACTTCCCAAAAGTCATAATAGCCAGTGCTACTGGTGCCAGATGAGAAAGCTTCATATCATTTAGGAGGTTCTTGAGAAAATCAGAGAAGAAGGAAAAGGTCTGTGTTCGTATTTCCCTACTTCCTTGCCCAATCCCACACACTCCCTCTGTGCTGCAGAAATGCAGAGGAACTTCCCTGGCTTTACCTGTCTGAAGAACTCCTCTAGCAGAGACATGGTCCAGCGATGATGGAGATCCCAGGCCTTGGCTGGATGACTGATATCTGCTGTATGCAACAACAGTGATAAGGCTTTCGGCTTGTCAATTCTGAAAACCCAAAGGATCAAATAAATTAATTGTCTGCTCTTGCAGTGGAGAATGACAAAAATCTCACCTAAGCATGGAAATAAGGTCATTAGAATCTTTGGCCAGGATATTAATGGAATGATTTCTGCATTCATAAAATCAGACAACTATAAAAGATTGTCTCATTTCTCCAACATACACTATTCCTGTTGTAACAGAGACATTAAGAAGTGCAAAAAGAAACTTTGCTTAGCCTTGCTGAGCTCCTTTCCAGGCTTGCTTATCTGCACAAGCAGGCTTGAAGAGCTGCTGTGTTCCCCATTTCAGCTGGGCTGCATTTTATGCAGCTCAGAAGAGAAGTTGGTCCCTACCATCTTACTGTAGTAAACAGGATCTGATCTCAGGGGCACAGATGAGTCTACACAGTAGTTGATAAAAGTTTCACTGCCAGAAAACTAGTGTGAGGTCAGAAGGGGATCCTTGCACCTGGTTCCACAGAACAAAAAAGGCTGGCAATTTCTTAAAATCATAACCTGAGAGGCTAGCCCAAGAACCCAGTAAATAACATTTACTTGGGATGGGTAGTCTCGTTTTTTAATTCCAGCTTTTGACTGTCTGAAATAGCTGGAAGAGTTGTAGCTTCTGAGAGGACCAAGTGGCTAACCACACTCTGGTCTGATACGGGTATAGTTCTGGGAGGCTCTGGACGGACCTATGTCCAGGGTGAAAAAATGACCATCACTTAGAGCTTCCTGCAGTATAAAAGGAGTTTTATGGGGAAGAGCTGTGGACAAAATATTACAGCTCCCAGTGGCGTACTGGGAAGAAGAAAAGGCTTTCCACATACTGCTCCATCTGTTATTTTCCAGTCCTTCCCTCAGTGGATCTCAAGTTGTTTTCATCTGTCCTCTAGTTATGGAGCAGGCCCCTTGCAGAGGTGGCAGCTGATACCGTCTTCAGAAGGGCAACGTGTAAGTTGTGTTCTGCAGATCTTATAACCTTGAGTCATACTCAAACTGTAGAGGTCACTCAGCTGGATCATGTCCTTGATGTTACTCTGATACGCAAAGGGAAATGCCCAAGGAGGCTTATCCCAACATGGTGACCTTTTCAAGCTTTGGTCCACCAGCACAGAATAGAGATGTGTGTATAGGGGGGTGCCAGTCCACTCTTAAGTGAATTCATTCAAAATTCAACAGCAGAAAAAGAATCAATGTGGACATCAAAGAGAGTGAGGGCCTCTGGAGAGGTGCTTTTGAAGTCAAACACAATGGCAAAACACCAGCTGAAATGCAGCCCCTCGCTGCACAGTGTTGTAAAGTGACTCACCCTTCTGGCTGCTGCAAAGCATTCTTCATGGCTTTGATTTGCTGGAAGTGACAGGACATATCGGTGGCCAACACCATCTCAATCACTAGAGCTCTGAATTCCCTTTTGGATGGCATCATGATGAGAGGAGCAAGGAAAGAGAAACACAAAAACCAGCATCAGACACACTCCAGCTTCTTTTGTTGTCTATCTGCAAATTATTGACACTACTTCTGCCCTTGTGTGTCACTCTTTCCATTATCCCTCTTTCAGGGACGGGGAAGAGGATGAATGATTTTCTACACAAACGCAGGAGTGGGAGGGCTGCAAATTAAGCCAGGTGGCTAATCCTTGCTAAGAGAAATCCTAGACGTTTTTTGAAGAGCGCATTAGTATTAGTATTCATTTTCCAATTAAGCATGAACCTCTTAAATTGATTTCTTTTATAAGGCATTCTTAAAAGGAAGTAAAAAGACTGTTTAAAGCCTTGGCATGAATCAGATTAACCTTTGAATCTGAACCTCTATGCAATTGACTGAAACTGGTCAATACCTATGTTGAAAGTTTAGTCATATTGTTAAAGGAAAAACAGCGTGTTAAAAAAAATCTAGTATATATGATGCATATATGCAGTCAAGACCTTTGAGAACGTGCATTACTTCCCTGATATTATTCATTTAAACTATTCCTGTATGAATTTTTGTTAAGCAAACTTGTTTAGGATCCAGTTGAAATTCCTTTGAAGACAATATGGATGTCCTAGAGATTTTAAAATATCAGAACATTCTGATCTAGCACACAATACAAATTTATTTTCTCTTTCTCTCAGTTCAGCTATCCACAGGTTAACAGAGGTAGAACAGCCCAAGGTTAGCATAGCAGCTCAGGATTTAGGAGATTGAGAAATAGGTCACCTTTCATTTAAAAATAAAAGTTACCATTCTTCTTTTCATGAATGTTTCATGAAGGACATGGTCTATTTTGAGCATGTCTCTTTTGCCTCTGGTGGCTGTGCTCAAGTTCCAGCCCCAGGCCACCACTGTGTAGAGACCCAAGACTGCTGTGCTTACCCCGTACCAAGGGTGGCACGTAATTAGTTCCCCCACCAGGAGTTGTGCACACACGTTAAGATGGCATCAGCTGGCCTCACACTTCCCTCAGTATACCCACCTCCTCCTCCCCACCCTTATGTACAATCAGTTGCACAGCCAACAGCATTCAAGATGACGACATGGTGGCTAAAAACAAACTTATTTTAAATTATTTTGGATCTTTTCTTTTTGCCAGTCCTGGTCAGTTCCCTGGTCTGGTTCATTCCAAACAGTACAAACCTCTCTGTCAATATAAGCAAGAGAGGCAGGAGAGGAGAACCTGAATGCATAGAAACAAACTTTTACAAGAAAAGGGTGTGGGAACAATTAGTGCTTGGGATTATTCCTGGGAAACAGCAGACACTTCACTACGTCCTCTGGAGTACCATTCCATCATAACGGTCTGCATGGGATACTTTGTGCGTAGCTTATTACAGTAGGAATACAAAAGCAAAGGGCTCAGCTCAGGCAAATAAGTCACTGACTTCAGTGCCAGCATGTCCATACGCTCACAAGCACACAAATCCTAGTTTCTCTTTTATAGATGTAAGTCTGGAATATGCCCATTCTCTGGCCTCTGCACACATTTCAGAACATCGTTTCCTCTGAAACAGAGAGGAAAAATACTTCAGAGACATTAAAAAAGAAAGTATTTTAATACTGAAGAGTTCTTATTTGTCACTTCAAACATCGGGCAGCACAATAGCAGGTGACTGTGGAAGGTGTGTGGACATAGATAATTTACTGGACGTAGGTAACGCCTGAGAGAAAACCTCAAAAGACGTACGCTAGAGGATGATGGGTTTGTGCATTTGTTGCCAGGTTGAGATAAGGCTGAAACACATTACAGAGAGAATTGAAGATAGATGTTTTTCCATTTCTTGGTTTTGCTTCTCAGTCAGACCGGAGCCTGGGACAGACGTAGCTGTTACTTTTTGCTCTGACCAGCTTTAGCACTTTGTTTCTGCAGTTGTCTTCAAAGTCTACACAACACACTACGGTGCTGCAGTCTGCACGCTGCATAGCAGCCCTGGCTAAATAGGCCCCAGAAACTGTTTGCAAGAGGTGTTTCCACTGCGGTATCACTGGACTATATTTAACGATGCTAACAATGCACAAAAGCCTGTTAATGTTTTACATGACACACTTTCAGAGTGATCTGTCTTCCAGCTGGGCTGAAGGCCTTTGTATCAGAGAAGCATAGTATATAAAAGCAGAGGAAAAGCAAGTCAACTGAAATAGGCTCCTCTTCTTTATCTTTAAGAAAACATATTTTACAATCTCAAAGAACAAATGAGGTAAGAGAAGAGGCTGCGCTACTTTCAAATGTCTACACGTTGCTGTGAAACTGTGCAGAAGTACAGCACTGAATACGTAGGCTTCATAAATATTATTATTTTTGACGTATGGTGGAGAGGCAGGCAAATTCAGCTCTCACTTCCAGTGTTACCAGTGGGATTAGAAAGTCAGAGATCCCCCTGGTATTTCTGCAATATCTTCTTCTCCTTTATTCCCGATGATTCAAACCCAGTTTTGTCTTCAGGAAGAAGTTCGTGAAGAACCAAAGTTAACTCACTCAAATAGTAATTGTCCTGAGTGATTTATTAAAAACTTGACTCAAGAAAAATTATCCAAAAAGGAAGGAGGACTATACCTCTATAATCTATCAGCTATATCACGATGATATAGGCAGACACGGCCTTGAGCTAAGCTCCTCCAGAGAGTCACAGTTGCACCGGGCTAAGTATTCACAAGCATGCTCGTATCAGAACATTTTCCAATAAAGATAACTTGCCTATCAACTCAGGCCAAGGAAACGTCCTAGAGACAATCTGCCCTATGACCATTAAGAGCTAAACCTGTATCTCCTGCTTTATTCCTGGTCACGCGGCATCATGGCAACAAGTATGGTATGAATATAGAAAAGGCGTCCTGAGATCTCCATCACCCAGAATGGTTTTCATTACATGAAAATGACAGTGCTCGTCAGCACCTCCCCCACACCTGCACCGTCTCTCTCTGTCACCTCAAAGCCAGCAA